GAGAGAGAGAGAGAGAGAGAGAGAGAGAGAGAATAAAAAAGTATTTTTATGGTTAATGTTGTGATAACCAGACGTTTAATATCAATAGTTGGGCCAAAATATCCTGTATTATACAGAATATGATACATAGAATACAGTATATTCTCGTTATAATAAAGTTATGAAAACGGTGTGAAAATTAAAATTTATTGGAAATTATAGTCACGACATATAGTTTTTATGGACAACACTTTGTCTTAACTTTATATAAGGCTATAAATATTACCAAAGTGTCTAATATATAGTTAATAGTAATAATATTGATTATAAATCAATATAAACAATTCTCAGTCTTATATATATAGCCTCTAAACAATTAACACGTTTATTAAATTATTGTTTAAATGTTTTTGATGTTTTAATTTAATGTTTAATCTATATCATTTAATTAATGAGCATAACATTGCACTTTGGAGCATATAAATCTCATGGTAAAATTATTATTAAATCAAACTCATTTCCTTTTATTATGACTACCATTTCATGTATTTGTTTAATTACTATACCATAAGAACTTGGTAATTTATTAATTCACTCGTATTATCTACACAATTAAATAATACAAATAGTTTCCGACATTATTTGAGTTACAGATAAATAAATAAATAAATATTTATCCGCATTTCCCAGTAATCTATGAATAAATATAAAATTATAAATAATTAATCGACGGTTTGTTTTATTTATACACATCTATAATACAATTCTAGAGTCGCTTAATAATTAATACTTGTTTTTACTTTAGCTTTAATTTATAGAATATAAAAACCTTGATTAATATTTCAAGTCATGCAATGTATGGCTTCATATAAATTGTATGTATATAAAGGGTGTATATATACTATAGTCATAGATTCCGTATAGTGTAATGCATACATAGTTTGGTGAAGCTTTTGCTGCCAGTTATAAAACATTGAAACCCGGAATTAAATGGGTTTTATATTGGGATTAATGTTTTGGCAGACAATGAATATCTGTTTTCCTGTGTATATTAAATGTTATTTTTTCTGTTGAGAGACAACTATACAGTAGTGTTGTCTACAAAAAATATAAATAAAATTTTATTCATATTATTGACTGTATTTTCATTTTTGCTGACGATGCACGGGCAACTAGTGCCGCCGCCAAATTAAATTAAAACTCCGATTTCCTATTAGTTTAGTTCATTATATATAACATGGTATAAATATTATGGGCATATAGATATAGGGGCGTGAGAGGGAGGCGTTTGTATATTTATANCTGGAATGCCATACTTTATTATTTTGTTTTTATATCTATTTATTAATTGTTCATTATTTTAAAAAGTATATTAAATAAATATTTAATTAAATGAAAATAGTTTTATTTGTAATAATGACCCTGTTTAAAAATGTAATCAACTTTGTGTATAATTTATAATTGATGCTTAAAGATATTATATTTACTAATTATTAAATATATTGATCATTTAATTTAATAAAATTAATTATTATTACCATAATTATTTAAAAGTATTTTAATTGTTCTAACTATTTGAAGTAGTTTAAAAACAAAAATAAAATAAAAGTAATGATCAGCCAAAATTTGTTTGTATATTTTGCCCAGGTTCAAATCCTGGAATGCCATACTTTATTATTTTGTTTTTATATCTATTTATTAATTGTTCATTATTTTAAAAAGTATATTAAATAAATATTTAATTAAATGAAAATAGTTTTATTTGTAATAATGACCCTGTTTAAAAATGTAATCAACTTTGTGAACAATTTATAATTGATGCTTAAAGATATTATATTTATTAATTATTAAATATATCGATAATTTAATTCAATAAAATTAATTATTATTACCATAATTATTTAAAAGTATTTTAATTGTTCTAACTATTTGAAGTAGTTTAAAAACAAAAATAAAATAAAAGTAATGATCAGCCAAGATTTGAACCTGGGCAAAATATACAAACAAATATGTATAGCAAACATGCGACGTCTTAACCATTACACTACACTAGCTAGTAATATTTTCTTACCTTATCTTGCTATTTATTGTTTTGTATAAATATACAAACGCCTCCCTCTCACGCCCCTATATCTATATGCCCATAATATTTATACCATGTTATATATAATGAACTAAACTAATAGGAAATCGGAGTTTTAATTTAATTTGGCGGCGGCACTAGTTGCCCGTGCATCGTTAGATTTTCATAAATTATATCTGAGATAATGTGACAAAAATTAGTCATTTAAACAATACTTGTTCATTACTTGTTCTCTTAATTAAGTTACAAAGTTATATTAATTACAAGTTAATTCAATTGTTATATAATCATTATATCATTATATTATAATGTGGCATTTTTAAAATTTTTAAAAATTAATATTTTTGTACAAACATTAATTATCATTATTTATTATGTCCCTAACTTTATGTATTGATCTTACATTGTAGTTTATTAATCCATCTAGTAAAAATTTTAGTAGAAAAGGACAAATTCAATATTTAAATTGTTAAATATTTATCAAATTATTGATTGCAATTTAATATGAATGTTTGAATATTAATGTGGTTTATAATGCCCTTAAAACGAACCAGAATTATTTACATAAACTTATTCTAACAACACTCCTATTTTGTTGTACAGTATATTAATTTAATATAATTATGTAAATAGTGCATTTACATAATTATATTAATGTTTTAATGTTGTTGTTACTAATTTTAAATTAAACTAGATTTTACTCGAGTATAGATTATAAAATAAAAAGCAGGTTTATAGTTAAACTAATACTAGGCTTAAATACTTATTTTAAAACATTCTAATATTTGAAATAAGAATATTTCAAATGCTAATATTTTATTGATTTAAACATTAATTTATATAAAATTATACGTATATATTGTTAAAATTAACGTAGCATATTAAATATTAATAAATAAACACACGTTATCACAAGGAATTTTTTTGACGTTAAATGATATTTAATTATTTTAATTTATTATTTATTCATAATAAAAAACCCATTTATAATAATAAATCTGTAATAGTTATTTAATTGAAATATAAGCAATCGATATTATACAATATTGTAACAGGTACTTATGAAATACTTTAAAATAAAGCAAATTCAAACACAATTTAATATTATTAATTATGAACTGTTGTTATTATAATATTATTTTTAATTACGAAATATAATTAAATTTTCCATATTATTATATTTACTTTAATGGCCTCGTGTAATCAAAATTTTTGTACTATGTGTAGTTTTTGTATTATAAATTTTTTTTTAGAAAAGTTGTGTATTTTGAAATCATATAAATCCGAAATATTGATAAATCAGTAATAAATCAAAAACTACATGTAGCACAATAATTTTGATTACATTTTCTTAAACAGGAGCAAAAATAACTTGATTTCAGGATTTTGCTCAAAAATAAGTTTGAATTTAACATAATTTTTAAGGGAAAAATGATAAAATTTTGCTTGATTTGAGATTATTTCTAAAATAAAAGGTCAAGCATATTGACCATATCATAGCAAAAACTCCCGCAGTTGATGAGTATATTGATATATCAATTTAATTTCCAGACCAAGTACCTTTCGAGATATTCGAGTTTAATTTTGTGGAGTCGATTAATCTCCACACTGTATTAATAAATGGTAAAAAGTTCATTATAAAGTTTATAAAAGTTAATATAAGTTAATAAAAATAAAAGCATAGCAATTTTTTGAATTATTCACAAAACTAAAATATTTTATTATTAAAAATTATATTTATTTTATTTATAATTAATCACATTATCTTAAAGATCAATTTCATAATAATATTTTGCAAACAAATGTAAAGTATAATATTTGCATTTACTGATCATGTTTGTAATATACTAACAATACAATTTTTTTACCACAATACAGCAAAAATATTGTTTGGTCAAATACTCATTTCAATAAAACTTGCCAAATTCTGTTTAAAACTAATAAACATTTATAAATAAGTGTTTTCTCATTTTTAAACTACCATTATACAATTTCATAACTAAGATTACATCAAAAAATTATAAAATTAATTTTTATAATATTTTTAACAAAAGAAAAAATTATATAACAATTGATAATAAGATGTGGTCTCTGTCTCACTGCAATCATATTGGCCATGTTTATTACCATGGTCATTCTTAACGCAGTACTTCATCCAAGTGTTGGCTGAAATGTTGATAGCTTCATTATTATTATTGCAAAAATTCTGCCAATTCTTAGCCTTAATTCTATCCAATTCACCCTGGTTCTTAAGTTGTCTGATGGCATCATTAAACTTTGAGATATACACCGATCCCTTAGGCATAGCTATGGCGTACACATTGGGAAAGTAGCCGTTGGGGTCGACAACGTATGTAAGGTTACAGTATATGCCCGACCAGTACTCGGCAGTAGTGGACACCGTTATAAACCCATATCGCATGCCATTCGCCAATTTGTACAAAACATCACCAAAGGTAGCGTACATATTGTCCGGATTGCTCTCCATATGGCTGTACATACGTTTGATGACCGGGTCGTCTGATTTGTTGAAAGCCCGATGGGCGCGACCCCCGCGATAAGTGCCATACGGCAGGTCAGACGCGGCCAACTCCGCAAATGACTTGATGTGTTGGGCGTAATCTTTGTGGAGAAGTACTGCCAATGGGTTGTAGTCTATAAATGGTTGGGTAAATTCGACATACTTTGCCCGTTCGTCGGTCACTGTTATGTCCGCCACCGCAAAGTCGGCCCTCTGTTTGATGTTTGCGATAATTTAAATAATAGTAATATACAAAATTTAAATAAATTATCATTATTTTTACGCAATTATGTTATTGAGTTTAAATGTGATTGTTTTTGTGATTACTTACGCCCTCATAAACCTCGCCAATCATACCGTTCGCACTACTGTTGGTAACCGACCCATACTTGCCGTCCGGCGAGAGATACAGTTTGTATTGAAATCCGACAATATTTGCGATTTCATTCATTAGGTCCACAACATAGCCATGAAGGGCATCGTTAGTGCAATTATTGTACGTTTCATTTAGACGTCTAGCATAGGGCCATAACTGTGCTCGTATTATACAAATAGTATATAGTTAATTTAGTTATTTAGTAAATTTTTTTTATTTAAATTGTTAATTTTTATCTTGGTTTTTGATTACTGTATATAATAATTATATTAAACTAAAATAAAAGTAATTTTTTTATATTATTTGCAATTTATTTATAATAGTAAGAAGAATTAAAAATCTATTTAAATAATTGCTTACATTAATGGTAACGCCATTAAGAATCGGCTGATTTTCAACCGCATTACAAACTTTGTCATTTAAAATGACCAAGATTGAAACAAAAATATATAATAATTGCATTATTAGTATTATTATAATAAAATTGACGCCAATAGTAACGATCACTGTATATGTGATGGGATCTTACTTAAATAAAAGTTACAAACAATTATATGATTAATAACAACTGATGTATCTAAATATACTGTTTATATTGCCAAAATCTATGTAAAAAAGTTAAAACGAATAAGCCTTGGAATCAATTAAATTAATTTGACAAACAAGTTAATAAGGCTTTATTCATAGACGTAATCATGAACTTTAAGCATAACAATAAATATTAATAATTTAGCTTATTGTCACAAAAATAAAAAAATCCCTAATTATTCAATTTATCAAATCTATTATAAAATATATTATATAATAAAACAGACAAAGGGTTTAAACAGTTATGCCATATTGTGATTTTTTTATCTAAGGGTTTTTCGATGCTCTAAATATTATATTTATCAAATCTATTTATTAATCTATTTAAAAAATATTTTAATTGCAAAAATTACAATTATTAAAATTTCATAACAATAACAAATTTCACAACAATAACTTATTATTAAATTAATTAATTACCTGAATTGATGTTAATTTATTCAATTGCTATAAAAATCATTTTATAAATATTGCGATAATTATTTTTATAATGTTAAACAGTGTTTATGTAATATTATCGGCAATAATAGGTTGTAATTGTGGTCTTGGATTTACACGACGTTTTACGCGACGAAAAACTTGTGGTTTATGTAAATGCCTACACATTGACTGCCATTTATGTGTTATATTAAGTGATATAATGTGACGATTATTATAATTATAATAAATTAATGTTTGACATTTAGTGAATAATTGTAAAATGTAATTAATAGACATTGAAACTGATAATCCAAACCATAAACCAAACAGCGATCCGATAAACAGCACACACTCTATGAAAGACAACTTTAATGATACCTCATATAACTTATCGGGTTCTCGAGGGAAATGCAAAACAATATCAATGTAATTGTTGAAAGGGCCAAATGTCATATTATCGGTCTCGTATTGAAGTGCATAATATTGTTTTACACACTCTGAACTTTTACTGCACTCATGTTTGCAATTTAATAAGCGTTTTTCAAATAAATTATAATTTGTCCACGATTCTTTAACATTAAAATAGTTCCTATTTGCTTCACCATCATCGTCGTAGTGCATGATAAATTGTGATATTTGTCCATAGTTGTCATATTCCAGTTTAACGCATTTCATTACGCATTCATCACTTGTCTCACTCGCCAAACATTTATCTGTATTTAACATATGATTTAATTTTACAGTTTCCTTCCGGTATGAGATTTTTACATAATTGTTTTTATTTGTATCAAAATTGAACCTTACTCGTTGGTCAGTACTTAGTAGCCGTTCCCTTCGGGAATGCACTTTGATAAATAGCCTTTGAATCAATGATTTATTGCGAAACGTAAACCAAATAGCGTTTTAATTGTTTATGTTGAGAAAGTTATCCGTATAACGAGTATCTGACTCACCCTTCCATTGAGATAATAATGTAATACAAGTCTCACTCATGAAAGCGATAGACCGGCGATACGGTACTACTGAAGTGCACTTACTTTGTATGTTTTTCATATTACTAGTGCATTCAACAAAATCATCAATGTTAATAAGTTGGTCCAACTGCTCATTTACAGATTGGTTGGCAAATATATTGCGCATAAATTCATTATTCTTGTTATAGTATTTAGATTTAAATTCGGGTCGAATTAGTTTCTTAGTAGCCATACATATTGTAAGCGCCGGTAGACTATACTCATCGCTAAACTTGACATTAGTTGTGGTTTCATATGATAAGTATATTTCACAGATTTGATAGGTTTGATATGCAAAGCCACACAATAGTATGCCGTAAATTATTACGTTCGTTATTAAAGTATAAGCCAACATTTTTATTTACGATAACTTAAAGTCTACAATTACAATTTTGTAATAGCATAAGATTTACTTATCATTATATTAACATGCTGAATACAAAATTTATTTTATTTCATTTAGTATTAATTCTGTAATTTAAGTTTAACTTTGACAAATAGATTGCATATTATATAAATGTTACATGAAAATTTTGTTTATTAATTAGATATTCTTAGATTAAATTCTATACGCCATTAATAATAAATAAAATAAATAAATTATATAATAATAATAAACTAAAATAATTAAATCACATTTGTTCAAATACAGAATATTCATTATTAAATATCCAGTCTGTTATAACTTATAAGTAAACAAGATACATGACAAATATAATTAACACATTGCATAACATATTAAATAATAAAGGAAAATAATAAAGTATCGATAATAAGCTGTGTTTTCATAATATTACTTTTAATAACAGAATTTAATTATATTTTGCGATATTGTATTTATTTTAATATCATTAAGTATTTATTTAATTAATATCTAATAAAACAAATTAAAATTATTTACCAAAAAATAAAATAGCTGCCCTTATAGTAACACAACAAGGTAGTACAGCAATGCTATACGTTAAACACTATTTGAGTGACAATTAAAAAATAGATGATTGTCTATAGATTTACTATGAATCCCATAGACTTGTGATGTCGAAGGCCATGATCCTAATTAATTTATACAGAGCATAGGGCCTATACTGTAGTAACGCCATTAAGAATGGACTGATTTTCAGCCGCATTACAGACGTTGTCATCTAAAATGACCAGGATTGAGACCAAAATATATAATCATTGCATTATTAGTATTATTATAATAAAATTGCCGCCAATAGTAACGATCACTAAATGTGATGGCAGTCTTACTTCATTGAAAGTACCGGTTGGGGAATAATTTACAAACAATTATATATTGATAGGCAACTGATGTCTCTATATATACTGTTTAAAAGCCAAAATCTATGTAAAAAAGTTAAAAAGAATAAGCCTTAGAATCTAATAAATTAATTTGACAAAAAAGTTAATAAGGTTTAATTCATAGAAATAGACATGAATTTTAAACATGATGATAAATATTGATAAATTAGCTTATTTACAGAAATATAATTTTCTATTTATTCGATCTATCAAATATATGGTAAAATTATATAATAAAAACAGGCATGGGTTTTAGATTATATTATGAACAGTTACAACAATAAAAAAAATTGTATAAAAATATTCAAATAAACGTGTTACGATTTTCAAATGCTTTATTAAAACAATAATTTACCATGAATAATAATATCTATTATTAATAGGCATACTTGGTTTTAAACTTTTCCAATAATCATTTAATACTGGATAAACATAATTGAATTTTGGTTTCTCAGTAGAATACTTCTTCATAATCTTCTCAATCCATGGTAAATAAGCGGACACCCGGGTAAAAACGCTAGGTGGCGATACGCACCTTCCAAATGCATCTTTGTTACCATATGAAGCAATACCAGTCACCATCCAGGGACCATTTAAGCCGAGTTTGCAGTTGAGAGGTCCGCCACTGTCCCCACTACAGGTACTGTTTTTTTGGTTAAGAATTCCTGCGCACAATTGCTTATTGGGTCGATATGGGCTATCTAAATTATGAATGAACAAAGAGATGATTAATAACTATATAAAAACAGTGCATGTACAGTATGTATAATAGTAACTAAAATATAACCATTAGATAGTGAATAATGTCAGGTATTGATAATAACAATATAATGTATTATATACTGTATAAATAAGCATAGTAAAATCAAAAATCTTAAATACTAACCTTTATATTTATCAACACAAACGTTATCGTCCACAATTGGCAATTCAGCTTTTTGCAGTATGTATGGGTTATACGCTTCAGTGGTTATTCCCCAACCGGTAGCCACGCATTTAGATTTAACAAGTTCTGTTGTGTTACTCAGGCATATAGGCTCCAGATAATCATGAATGCCATCTAGATATAATGGTGCGTTTAATTTCAGAAGAGCGATATCATCGGATAGATATCCATTCTTTTCATAATCTTCGTGAATGATACTCTAAATAATTAAATAGTTTTTTTGTCAATTAGTTTATTAAAAATAATTATATGTATTAAAAATTAGCATATATTTAATTATTCAGTGTAAAATTTTATTAATTAAAAAACAAGCTTTTTCAATATATCAATATATTAATTTTGTAGAGTCACATATCAAATCCACATGACAACTCGAATTGACTATAATTTTGTATTTGAATTATGGATGAGTTAATATTTAGTTGTATTTAAATACTCATGCATAAAGATTCTCAAACATATGACATTCATATTATCTATCAGATAAATAAATTAATTGACTATAGCAAAGTTAGATACATCATATTAAACGTAGATAAATTATTATTTCAAAAACGTTATTTCAAAACTACTAACCTCTATGATTGACCGTTTCAATTCGTTTTTATCGTAAACTCGACTGTCATAATCACCGAGATAAACAGTAATGTCATCGTATTTGATTCGGTTAGTAAAATTCTTAGCACAGTGGGCGGCCGTCAGTACCCACTCATCGCTAATTAACGAACCACCACAATCCGTACAGTCTTTATTAATAGTGTTACATGATAGAAGGCGAACCATCCAGGGCCATTCGCCCTTTTCGGCAGCTACACCGTTCATTATTTTCTTTTCGATTGTTGAGTTGCCGCATTTAGGCCAAGGTTTCCATTGCTCATCACCAAACGCTTTGCCTGACAAAAACAATAGACCTACAGTTAATGCTATATAATATAACATTATGGTTAGTAGTTGTTTTGAAGATTAATGGATGTTAATCTAACAATAACTGTTTAATCAAATAGATTTGCAAACTCTCTTTATATACCTTATAAATTTATTAAAAATGACATTTATTAATTTAAAATCTGTTACATTTGTATTGTAATTATTGATTAATTATTATAAAAATCTTAAAATTTTTTAAATATGTTCTATTAGTACAGTTAATTCACTAAATAACAGAATTATTAATATTTTAGCAAAAACGTGGCCTGTGCCGCAATTGAATTGTGGATTATCCATATAGTAGCTACACAAACATATCAACACGCACCCTATCGGGACCAGATAATAATCAAGATTTACAACATAGATTTTTATAATGCATTTTTAACCACTATTCTGATATGAATAATGTGCTTTATAGGATCGTTCGGCTACCCCCTCCCCCCCCCACCCTATGGGAAATAACATGGGATTCCATGTTAATCCTATGGCTATACTTATATAATATTAATTTGAGAATTTACTGTATTTTACTAGTGTATGAATATAGTAGTTTTATGCATCATTAATTTAAATATTTATCCGGGTTGTCTAAAATTTTGGCAAAATTAATTAATTTAACTTGTTACATCATGAATATATTTTGACATGTATCTTTATGATTTATTTAATAATACTATATATAATTAATCACAAAATAACACTTGTTTTAGCATAATAAATTTATATTCATATAAATGAGTATTTGCGTTTACGCTATAGCTCTCACACAAGAGTGATTATAATAAAATTTAAGTACACTATGTAAATAATGTCTAGTGGTATATATCAAATGACCCGACAACTTCGGATTCACTAACATGGGAAATTAACTTGATGATTTTATAATCATGTCATAATAAAATTACCAACTCACTATATCCATTCACCTTTTATTTATATTATTTTTAAATTAAAAATATTTAGTTAAATTTATATAAATATATAATTCCTTATATTTATGAACATGTTCTAAATCAAAATAAATAACTGTCACATTTTAAATTTAAAAAACACATTTTATTTAATATTAAATTGTAAAATTCATTTTTTTGTCAATAAAAACATTTATCATGATCAACTTAAAAATTATGAAATAAATATGAGCTTTAATATTAACGTTATGACGTAATAACGTTTTTATACAAAATTAATGAATTTTGAAAGTTACATAATACATAAGTTATAAAACAAAACAATTGTATTTAATTTATATAGTTTACATCTACATTGTACATGTAAATTAAATATACAATGTAAAAATTTTAATTTATACTATTATTAATTTTTAATAATAAGTATAAACCTTTTTTAATTTTTTATAAATTTTGCAACTTGAATATTATTATTAAATAAAACTAAATCAATGATTGATATTTATAAATATTTAAGCTCATCACTTTATTTAAATACTATAACAATTAGATTTTAAACAAAAAACAATTTAAAAATAATAAAATTTTAAATTAGATCTATATTTATTTATTATTATTTTGTAGTGACACATTATTTATATTGTTTATTTTGTTATGAATAAATTTATCAATTAATTATTATATTAATGAGTTATGTTAGCTTCATTAAATATTTGTTTTATTTTAATCAAAGTAGTAATCAAACCTTTAAATTTGATATATATTTATAATAAAAATTTATATTTTAGTTGTTTTGCGGATATTATCAATTTAATAAATTAATTAAAAGTTATTATTACAAATTTCATTTAATAATTAAATAGCGTTAAATAATAATTACAATTTTTAAACTTTAAATCATGATTATAAATAATTGTACAAGTTATCTGTACTGTACAAGATGTACAAGATATAAAATTAACTAATTATTATGTTATATTAATTGCATTTTAAATTATTTGAATATATTTGTAAGAGTGAATTGCCGTAACGGCAGTATTGTGATAAATGTTTTCGAGTTCAGTTGTTATATAAATTACGAGTATTTACTGTAAACTTAAATTTAGTATTATTTATAATGTTATGTTAACTTTAATGTGACTTAAAATTCAGTGTTTTTATTATAAAGAATAATAAATAATAAACAACTGGTATAAAATAAACAAAAGTATTTTTATTATTCATTTAAATTAAACATTTACTAATTAATTTGTGAGGTCCATAAAAGTTAAACACGTGGTTCAATAAAATTACCACGAATTAAACCCTGATTATTTGCGATGTTTAAATTCAATACGTTTTGACTATTATTAGTGACAATAATATTCTTATTTTTCCAGAAATAAATTTTACATTTATTAAACAATTGTGTGCGAATAAGTTATTATAAAAATATTTATTATCATGTGACGTATTTTTAGAGTTGTATTTAGGGATGTAATAGTTTTTATTGTTTAATTTAAGTTTAACTTTAACAAATAGGTTTCATATTATTTATGTAAATGTTACATCAAAATTTTGTTTATTAATTAGATATTCTTAGATTAAATTCTATACGCCATTAATAATAAATAAAATAAATAAATCATATAATAATAATAAACCAAAATAATTAAATCACATTTATTCAAATACAGAATATTCATTATTAAATATCTAATCTGTTATAACTTATAAGTAAACAAGATACATGACAAATATAATTAACACATTGCATAACACATTATTGGAAAATAATAACGTATTGATTATAAGCTGTGGTTTCATAATATCTATTGGGAAAGTCCAAAAGGGGCTAAACTTTTACATTAAGCTTAATCATAACCATTTCAATAGCCATAAACATGAAAATAGTAAAATGAATAAGTGTATTTTAAAAGTTTAGCCCCTTCTGGACTTTCCCAATAGATATTACTTTTAATAACAGAATTTAATTATATTTTGCGATATTGTATTTATTTTAATATCATTAAGTATTTATTTAATTAATATCTAATAAATCTAATTGAAATTATATGCCAAAAATAAAATAGCTGACTTTATAGTACACAACAAGGTTAACCAGCGATGCTATACGTTAAACATTATTTGAATGACAATTAAAAAATAGATGATGGTCTATAGATTTACTATGAATCCCATAGACTTGGGATGTTAATGGCCATAAACCTAATTAATTTATACATAGTATAGGGCCTATACTGTGGTAACGCCATTAAGACTGGACTGATTTTCAGCCGCATTACAGACTTTGTCATCTAAAATGACAGCAATTAAAACCGGAATATATAATAATTGCATTATTAGTATTATTTTAATATAATTGACACCAATAGTAACGATCACTAAATCTGATGGTAATCTTACTACATTGATAGTTATAAACAATTATATACTGATAGGCAACTGATGTTTCTAAATATACTGTTGTTAAAGCCAAAATCTATGTAAAAATGTTAAAAGTTTTAACTTAAAACGGATAAGCCTTGGAATCAAATAAATTAATTTGACAAACAAGTGAATAGGGCTTAATTCATAGACGTAGATATGAACTTTAAACATGACGGAATCTATTGATAAATTAGCGTATTTATAAAAAAAATCTATAATAAAATATATTATATAATTAAAACAGACAAGAGTTTTAAACAATTGAGACGTGATTATTATACAAATATTGCCCCTAAATGACTCCATGCGGCTCATGGATTTGATGTTTGTCGTATAAAATAATACTTGAAGACAATTAATTGTATGCAATGTTATCGCTAAATATTAGATAACTTTCTTAATTAAATAATTAAGAAATAATAATTTACAAACAATAAATTAATTAAATTAATATTTAATTGTATTTTATTATTAAATTAAATTTTCTCATACAGTTCGTTCAAAGTAAACAATTCGAGGTTTGCTTCATTTTTTGCGTTGTTCCATGCACGTTCTTGCTCGGAATTGAGCTGTCCCTTGTATTTATCACCAAATGCAGTAATTACTGTAATTACCTATAAAAAATATTACAAACAAAATATATCAATGACTATAATTAATATTTATATATTATAATAATAATATTTATCCCTCTCAGGAGCTAGCTATAACAATTAGGAATAATTTGCATATTGTGTTTACATTTTAAAAAATATAATTGTTATTTTATATATTATCATTCTTGATCATTGAGGTTATTAAGATTTTTTTACAAAAGTAAACTACCATGTACAATGCACTCAAATTTGTACAATCATTTACAACATTTATATTCCTAGCAAAATCATATTGTAAAGTCTTGTAATCATCTGTATATTACAGAAAAACTTTACAAATATTACAGTATATTTCATATTACAAAAAGGTAATTTACTAAAAGTACGTACATTTTTAATTTGAGCAATTAAACCGCGACAATAATCCAAGTGTTCATCGCGATGACCAGGGTCAGATTGTATGGCCGCTCTAAGGTTTGATTCATTGACCATCACTTGTGTTTTGTCAGTAATTACTTGCTTGATGAATTGTTCCCACACGGCTGGGTCCACATTTGCATAACCTGTAACATACAGGGTTTATTATGGTGAATACAACATGTTTATTATTATATTATTGCTAAAATAAATATATATTTAATTGACATATTACCTAGAGCAAAAATACCCAAAAATGTCAAGACAATAGCCACTGATCTCATTATTATTAGGTTGTGTTTAGTTCTCAATTGAATATTGAAATACAATATACTGTTAAAAGACTAATGAATTGTATATTGAATTGAAAGGTATTTATACATGTTTTGGTTTAATCTTTAGATCGACTTCAGTATTAAACATTTAGTTTATATATTGAACAATCATTTTGCAATAACTTAACATGATCTGATTTTAGTAATGAATTATGTGACAATGTTTCTGTACTAATGTATTTAAAATAAGCACAAGTGATTAATTTAGACAAAATACAATCAAATTAAAGAATCAAACTTAACTATGTACTAAAGATTTGCAGCTAAAATAAACTTATGCATTAAAATATATAAATTGAATTAAGTTATTGTTTCATCTTTGATACATAATAAACTGAAATAATATTAGTACTTAAGATTATTTATTACGTAAATAATTGAGATATAACTACTATATAACTTGAGTTCTTATAACTTATAATAATTTTATCATATTTGTACAAGTTTTCTAATAGATTTCATTAGATATTTAAGCTCTCGTGCATTAGTCTATTTATTGAACTCATTAATATAACTAATTAAAAATTACATAATAATAAAAACACTAAAACATGAGCATAAAAAATTTTATAATTTTTAAATTCTTTATTAGATCAAATATTTTTAATCAAGATTCATAATTAATAGACAAACTTAATTTTAATTACGATAAATAATCTAATTAGTATTTGGTTTGTCGGTCACCTTAGCAATAATCCATGGTAAATAAGAAGACACTCGGGTAAACACTGACGGTGTTTGGCCACCATATGACGTAATACCATTGACCACCCAGGGACCCGTTTGGAGTTTGCAGTTCAGGGGTCCGCCACTGTCACCTCTACCGGTATCTCCATTGTCGTATTGATTGCCCACGCACAATTGGGTATTGGGCTGGTATCTTTCTTCAAACTATTTTAGCAGCACTCGCACAGCAGTCCTCAAACTGTAAACATCATATTAAGCATGATTAATAAACTTAATTGTGTTATTTTATATAATTCTGTATCCCATCATTTAATTGATTAGTTGAGCTAGGTAAACTAGTTTGGACAGTTATGTACGACAAATGAGCGGGGTAATAGTCAAGGTGCGAGCGGGATATACCTGAAGTGTTTAGAGTGTGTTGTGAGGACTGACACATTTCTAACAATATCATTATCTCACTATCTCATGGAACTTTAGTTCAAAACTTTGCAGCAAGTAAGAAACTCAATTTGCATTTATAAATATTTAATAGCTACGTATTTTATTTTAATTTCTTAATAATATTAATCATGTAATGCATTCAAATAATATCAATAATATTTTGGCATAATAAATATTAAGGTAAAATTATATAAAATTTAATATTTGCTAAAATATTAAAAACAGATTTTAATAAATAGTTAATTGTGGAATCCATTTATAAAAATGTGACATTTATCTATTTTGATTTAGAGCATGTTCATAAATATAAGCAATTATACTTTTATATAAATTTACCTAAATATTTTTAATTTTAAAATATTATAAATATGAGGTGAATACACACGGTGAGATGGCAATTTTATTATGACATAGTTATTGAATCACCAAGTTAATTTACCATGTCACTGCGGTCCAGGTTGTCAGGCCATTTGATATATACCACTTTAGACTCTTTACAAATAGACTCTTTACATAGTGAACTTAAATCTTATTACAATTACTCCTGGTTGCAAGCTATATTATAAATGCACATATTATTAATTATGCTAAAACAAGTGTTATATGGTGTTATTAATAAATTGTTAATCAACAATTATTTATTATTGTTTCACACTTTACTTATATTGTTTACTGTTATCTATACAATATTATAAATTAATTATTATACTAATGAGTGATGCCAACTTAATTAAATATTTATTTTTCATATTATTATTAATATTAATATTTTAGAATCAATACAAAATACATGTTTATGGTCACATTATGAAACAAACAATAAACAAATGATTTATAATTGATAGAACTTACAAACACTTAATATACATTTATATTATGTATATTTAAATAATGTATATTTAAATAATATTTGATTGTATTTTATTATTAAATTAAATTCTATTATAAAGTTCGTTCAAATTAGACAATTCAGAGTATGCTTCACTTTTTGCGTTGAACCATGCACGTTCTTGGTCAAAATTGAGCTGTCCTTTGTATTTATCACCAAATGCATTAATTATTGTAATTATCTATACAGATTTTACAAAAAAATATATATATAATAATTATTATATAAATGAATGTAATTAATATAAAATATTATTATTAAATTTCAATACTAATAATCTTTATATATCATAGGAGCCACTGTGGGGTTATTTACTAAAAGTACTTGCATTATTAATATTAACAATTAAACGGTGATAATTGTCCAATTGGTCATCACGATGACCGAGGTTAGATTGTATTTCCGCGTTAAGGCTTGACACATTGACCTTCACTTGTCTTGTAGCAGTTTTAACTTGCTCGATGAATTGTACCCAAACGGCTGGGTCCACGTCTGCATAACCTGTAACATATTTTATTATGGTGTAAAAAGCCAATTTTCACAAAAGCTATTATATTATTAAGATAATACAGTATATTTAATTGATATTTTACTTAGAAGAAAAATACTCAAAAGTGTTACGACAATAGCTACTAATTTTATTAGGTTAGTATTTAATCATTGATATAAAGCTTTATAATAAACTAAAATAATATTGATGCTTACAATTATCGATTACAAAAATCATTGAGGTAAAACTAATATATAACTTGTGATCTTATAGCTTATAATAATTTTATCATATTAGTATAAGTTTTTTACTAGATTGTATTATGTATTTAAGCTCTCGTAGATTAATTGATTTATTGAACTCATCCATATAAATAATTACAA